GTCATTATTACATTAAGAAATGTATCGTAAGAATTTTGTAAATTTTCGATAACATTATCAGCTATTATTTTATCTTGCCTTTCTTCTGACGAAAGAGAGCGCTCATAAAATTAATTGAGCATAACGCTAACTTGAAATTCGACTTTTAAGAGAGTAGCGTTCAAGCTATTGACCAACGGCGTATATTCAACACGGATAAACATTTAATAAGCCTGTGTGAAAGCCTTAATTCCATCGGCGATTGGTAAACTCGGAGAAAAACGGTAAATAAATCGGCAATCGGACATATAACATAAAAAAAAATCACAGTTTCATTTAAGTCTAGATTCGTACATATATATAAGCGGTATTAAATAATTATAATATTTACAATCTCGAGGAAGGCCTCGGCGCAGCCTATCGAGCCACACGAGACACGCTCTAATAATTAGTCAATTAATAATATAATGCGTTCTCTCGGTCAGCCCCGTTCGAGAACAACGGTCTACCTATTACGAGAGAGATCTGAAGAAAGAGAGAGAGAGAGAGAGAGAATATAGTTAATAATATAACATTTATAAAATAACGTTCGTCTCGTGTTCGCACTTATGAGTACGATTATTTTGATCCGGTACTTTGACATGGTGAGGTTTTTCGCGCTTTGTCGTACTAAGGTAAAAGACAAGCAACGATAAGGCGTATTTGAAATACGTTCTTCAACGTGACTTCGATAGCAACGCTAGCGACAATGGTAAATTCTAGTACGAGCCAGTAGTACCTGTTTTTCCTACTTCGCTCAACATGATTCCAACTTGAGACCTGTTGCTAATCTACTACATTATTATAGACACATCTAATCAAATTCTTTAATTACCGAAAACTGAAGAAATCTCAAAAAAAAGATTGACTCATTACTACATACCTAGGTATAATTCGGCGAACTAACTGCTAGCTCGTACGACTTAATCACGATTCAATTTTACTTCGATTTTCATTCCCATTCCGCTCGTAGCCGCTGCTCGCGGCTGGTGTCTTTTACTTTATTACTCTATTAGCACAATTGCCGCTAACAAACACGCGCAATCCCGTGGGACGCGAAGTGAAAGGGTCGCTTTGATTGAATATACACGTAGTATGCATACAATGGCGCTCGCGAGAACATCTCGCATGTATAAAAGTTTATCTCTCTCCTCTAATATCTCTTCGCTATCACTTAAACGGTAAAAGTCTTTCCTACGAGGACAGTCGCCCGATGATGATACTCCTATACTCGCACAACAACACCACCACGAAACTTCGAGATCTACAGTATCATGAGAAACTTAAACTTTAGATTCCACAATTCGACATTTACAGTACATATCCTTCTTTTTTAAACAGTAAAATGCAGCTTCGTTTGGGCGTTTAGAAATTAATAGCCGGTTCTAGCAAGCATGGACAGACGGAGAAAGCTGTCTTCAATATCGGTAAAGTGACATACATGAAATGAATCGCATCGTCAGAAGAGTTTATCATTAATTCGTGCAGTTATTAAATACACCGCTAACGTATGCAGGTGGAAAAAAGAGTACAATTATAATGGGAAAAGCCAATAAAGGTCGTGGATTAACGGCTTGCTAGCATTAGATATGAGTCAATTTTACAGAATATCCCGACAGCCTCAAAACGCGAGGCTGTAGGATCTCAAAATTGTCTGACGCTCGTCTAAATACTCGATACACGCTTTCACATTTCTTCGGTGAACAACAAAACGACTGTCTCCCTCAAAACTTTAACCCGCCTGCCTGTAACACGCGACTGGTATACTATGCCTTATACACGTATATACATCGTGAGCTCGATAAAATTAACAAGACATGAATACGATTTCGTATGACTCATTGTCTACCATCAACGTCTCTATGTTTTACGGCTAGCTTACGCCTTTACGCACATATCGATGATCTATGTACACTGATTTCCTATCATGTATACAAAGTATCATTCGTCTTTTGCGGAGCTACGTTTGTGTATTTATATATATATATGCGTGTTCGTGTAAGATTAACACCAAAAGAATCCGTTCTTTTAAACATGATATTTTCAAGCAGTTTCCGTAGTTGAAAATCGCAAAATCAGTCAGGGGGATGTGAAATACTGCCGGGTAAACACGCGAGATAATTTTCGATAGTTCGCTCGAGAGTATTGATCGGACCCTTCTCGTGTTAATTACTAATTAAGCTGCTCATTAGTCGCACGGACACGGGAAACGAAAGTTTTGTGCGACGACTGATACGTGAGAACACAGCGGCCTTGAAAGCAGATGTTCATTAAGAGTTTTATGAAACATTTCTTTGTCATCTTCTATGTATATATAAATTTTTGTATCTATAGCGTACAGATATATATCAAGAGTTTCCCGCTTGGAGGATAATAGTTTTCGAATAGAGCCTAGCCATTAAAAGCCATTCTCGGTCCTAACTCTGAACAGTGTTTGCTATCAGGAGCCACTATCGAGGAATAAAACTCTTGAATGTACACCCAATCTAGCTCGGACGAATCTCTCTGTTGGATTATTTTGACTTAGAGATAGTGAGTATGCACAACGCGCGATGAGATCTCCGTCTTTTCATTAATAATTCTTTTGCTGATAATTTCTCTCCCTTACTTCGAGAAGCACATCTATTATTATTGTAGTCAAATTAGCGCTACTCTCTACTATTAATCAATACACTACTATTGTTACTGTTGCCGCCGCCGCTGCTGCTGCTGCTAAATGCTACTAAAATTACACATTTGTTAGCGTACTCCGCTCACTCCTCCCTCTATTAATATCATATTATCAGTTATTACCACTAGTATCGTCAATAATCAACGCAATAGTTAGCGATATATTGTTAATCTTATTATTGTTATCGTTATTTAAAGTTCACTATTTATTGTTGCGGTTACTTTTGTTCTTGCTGTTGCTTTATTATTGCGAGCATGTTCTTCTCAGTGTGTTGCAAGCTGCACATGTTAATTCCCTTGGTCCTGGTCCCAGTTCCTGCTACTTGTCCGCTTGTGTTCGCAATGACGATCGAAAGGATGACTCAGTCCTTACATATAGCGAGGGTACATTCAATCGATGAACATATTACCGTCGTCGAAAAACGTGACTGAACTTAAATTCTACAAACGTACGTAACGTAAAACATTGGAAGACTTTACAATGCCAGGAGTATTATTAGTAATTTCAGAGATCATACCGTAGCTCTCGTATTATTAGGGATACGTCACCTAAGAGTCCTAAAACCATAGGGCTTTATATACATTCTTCTACGTTCGTCGCAAATGGACATTGAAATTTTTACATTAATAACACGGTTGATAACGTAATCTGAAAGACGAAAGCTGTTTAAGACGTTGCAAGGATTAACGTGTTCAACGGTACACGATAAATTGCGTGATTCATCAAATCGTGATCATTGTTCATTCAGTTCACTCAGTAAATGCGAATTTCTAGCACTCGTGATTCAAGTAATAGGTCTCAATTATCGTTCTAAATTAACGACAGTACAAACCTACGGAGAGGAAATTAATACCCCTACGATCCATCTATTCATCGTACATTTTAGCGCAACACAGCGTTTTTACCTGAGATACGAATGAATCGTTATATGAAAAAAGAAGACATTAGAATGTACAAATGTATAACCATCTTTTTTTTATATCAAGGGTTTCAAAGGATTGAGTAGAAAACACTGATCTCTTTCTCTCTTGCCGTTTTCTCAGACATTTTCTTGAGTTCCAATGACAAAATCAATTGTGCCTTGAAAAAACAGTGACGCCTATTCTTTGGCAATGTGTAGAATAGTTTCTTCCAGATAGCTCTAAGCTTGTATACGCGATTATGTGAGACAAGGCAGTGATCATAGCACGTGATAGAGTTTCTAGTTTCCCATTCTACGTTGCGCCCGACAATCTCTGGTTCAGTTAACTGAATTCATTTAACGCCCTATCCTCTTTTAAGGATTACACTTCTACCCGTGATACATGTATGTATAAATGCAGAACGATGATGCGAAACAGATTGAATCCAGTCAGATAAACTCGTGGTAAACTTGCAAAACGTCGTACACCGAGATCCTGCCTTAAAGAGATACGCCCTTGAGATACTTGTTACTTTTCATGTACCATCCAGTACACGCAGTGGCGAAAGGTAGAGGAAACAATAATCTAGAGATTGCGAAATAGATATATATATGTATATATATAAATTTATAAATATATAAAAATATGTATACCAAAAAAATTTCTTTTACAAAGCCAATAAGAGTTGCGAGAGGTGGATTCAACTCGTTTTGCGTTACCGTTCCTCGAGTAGGAAACGAAAATGTAATCAAGAGTTGATATTAGACGTGGCCGAGCCCTTGAATTTTCTTTAGTCTCCTAGACGTTAATAATCTCGGTCACGACGCACCGATTATTTGCCTAAAATCGACTCGTGCTCGTCAATGATGATCAATGTCCGCACAGAATGAGCTAGGAACCTACAGCGGCTATCTTACATATCTGAGAAATATCTCTAGTTTCCGCGGCTGCCTCGGTTGACAACCGCCGTTCCGTTGGGAATAGGATCCCTGAATCCTTCATCGTACGCCGCCGTGATGAGATCTAGTCGTAATGTACAACACGCGCCGCCTTAAAGGACAGTCTATCGAATGTACAAAGCGCCATTCTCTCCCCGTATCTTGCACCCTGGCGATCTCAGAAATGGTCTCCCCCGGCAAATGCGGAATCTCTTGCACCGCGCAGATCCAGCCTAGATCCCAAGGAGATCCTCACGCGACGTGGCGTCTCTCGGATTCTTTTCTACTATCGTTATCGCAGTGTACGTACGCTTTTATTCTCTCTCTCTTTCAGCGCTAAATCAACGCGGCTTTGTCTGAAATCACATTCACACGATGCTCTGTATATTGAACACATATTTTTGCGTATTGCGTATATCGTGAGTGTGTAATGTGTGTGCGTGCGCCACGTATTTACAATCATCTATTATGCATTTTTCTTTTTTTGTCGCAGAGTGCATCTTTAGCGAAGGAGGGGGTGCGTCTTTACCCTACGTTACGGAGAGCAATGACGAGCAATTCCGCTAATCTACCTCGACTCCGCCGTCTTATTACTGACCTCTTCGTCGGCGGCGACCGGGGTGGTGCCCGCCGGAGGAGGCGGCGGCGGCTGCTGCTGCTGCTGAGGCTGCTGCTGCTGCTGCTGCGCGGGAGGAGGAGCGCTCGCCGCACCGGGATGCGACGGGGCCGGCTGTTTACCGTACTTGCCGGTGTCCTGCTGCTGCGGCGCGCTCTGCGACTGCAGCTCCGGTCTCCGGAGGTAAGCGGCCGCCTCCTTTTTCGGTGGTACCACCGGTTTATTCGGCGGTACCGGGGGCGGCACGCCGCGCGACATCGGCGGCTTTTTCGCGGGCAGGATACCACCACCTCCGCTACCGGCGGCAGCGGCGGCGGCGGCGGATGCTTGAACAGCGGGGCTGGCGGCAGGACTCGAGGACTGGCCGACGTGAAAGCCGAGCTTTCCCCCCGCGGCGGCGACGGCGGCTTGCGACGACGAGATAAGCTTAGCCGCGGCGGCGGCCGCGGTACCGACGGGCGCAGGTACAGCCGGCTGTCGCTTGTCTACGGCCTGAGGAATGAACAACACAACCAATGACCGATTTCAGAGTGCCGAGAGCCGCCAGGTAAGAACAGAACCGGGCACACACCGTTAAAAACCGTTATTCTCTGCAGGGGAGGTGGTGGAGGAGAAAGAACCATACCAAAGAACTAATCCAAAGCAGAGAGAGAAACAGAGGCAGACTCGGTGGAGAGCGGGGACGATAGCTACGAAAAAATGGTCAAGACCGAAGAGGAGGAGAGAGAAAAAGAGAGAGAAACAGAGAAACACCGTTATTTAAGCAGCAAACGATCACAACTCAGGCCGAGGCCCTCGAGATGCTGAAAATTAAATTCCATGTCGTCAAACTGTGCTGTTAATAGAGAATTGCGAGGATGCGGGAACACCTCTCTTCTGGCTTACTCGTCAGAGAATAGGACACTCGAAACACGCGGTCCAAACTGCACAATCAAAGAAGGTATTAGTTAAACTTAATGAGCAGATCCTGCGAGAAAATAGACGAGATACAGACAGACTACGTGTTTAGGTAAGAAATATTTTAATCTGCAGATTTGCGTCGGGATGCTACAAGTTCGAATTGGCCGAGTATTCATCTACTTGTTAAGATATGCTACCGCTAATCCAAATAGTAGAAAACGTCAGAGTTCGTAGGACCCGTAAGACCCGTGTAATTTAGTAGGTGACGATTACGCTATATTGCGATTAGGAAGTCAAGCTGGGGGCAGTTTGTAAATAAAGCTCAGAAATGAGTTGCGTACAATCTTCTTCTTTTAATTGTAGGAATCGGTCGATGTACACATGTGAAATAATAATAATCTTATGTACAGAAAATAAAAGTATCGTAATAAAATATAACTCTAGGTATCGATGATGTGCTAACTTATAAGATCGGTGTACGGTGGAGGTGTGTATAATATTGCGAGTGTGTTGTAACAATTAACTTTTCAAATAAATCGTGAACGCGTGTATAAAAGTGTATATACAAGTGTAATGTAAAATAAATTTGCAAAATAATCTTGCGGATACTCACAGAGCTTATTCGTAAGAATTTGTGTATGTGTGTGTGTGTGTGTGAGGTAACGGTTCTTAAACTTTAGTGCATCATCTGATACGAGCGATAGAAGTAGCGAGAGTGTATTCCGGTCAATGCGAACAGAGAATCATGTGCATCAAATATAAAACTATGTAGAAGCCAAGAACGTTATTTGGAACAGGCGAAACTCACTTTTCCAATGTAGTTTTGTAATTTATTTCCATTTAACATATATCTAATATTACTCTACACGAACATTTCTGCGCTGTTGTACGATATCAACGGTGCAGAAATGTTTCGTGTCTTTATTTTTTGGGCAAATGCCATTTGCAAAGGGACGTAACAAATTGGTTATCAAAATGTATACGTCAAATGTATCTTTATAAAAAAAAAATTAATAAATACATATAACATCTGTTTCTTTAAATTAAAAAGAAATTAATGTATATTAATTGTAATAACTATATGTATAGTTGCAATAAATATGACTAAAGTGTGATATATTTATGATCTATAAATATATGGGAATAAGATACATAAGACTAGAGAAAAGCTTATAAAATGCTCGTGTATAAAATCAGTGATAACAAATGCATTTATTCCTACTAAAATAAAGCTACGAAGTGATGTAATATATATATAAACATAATATATATTACATATATATGATGTAATATATATATTAAATATATATATTATTTGCTAAATAATTATTTCGTTTATACACGATTCTTCCACATATTTTGATTGCAATGCTAAAGATCATAAAATAAATCTTTAAAAAAGTAGTGATGGGAGAAATGTAACATAAATATTTCAACTATTTACATTTCAAAGATACAAACGTTTAAAAAATCGTTCAATCGTTAATTCAGATTTAACAATCTATGTCAATGGTACACTGTGCACAGGGGATTTTAAATTTTCAATTTGATGTTTCTCTTGAATTATAAAGAGCCTACTTACGTCATTAATTACAGTCTTTCCAATCAAGTTCCATATCATTTTAAAAGACAGAATACTTTATCTGCACTTACGATGTGTAAACTTAACTTTTTGCCTACTCAAAATTCTATTTTTAAATAATATCTGACACACATTTATATATCGAATTGAAGCTAATTACCTCATTAAAGCTCTATCGCACAAAACACAATACCGACTAAAAGTTAGCTAATTTCTACTTCCAACTAAATTTCCCTATCGTTATAATAATTAATTATTTCCTTCTTTCGTCTTGTCTTTTTCAAGAAAATACTAGCGAAGTGCCAGTACTTCTTAACGTCAGATATAAAAATACCGCGTATAAATAGGCTCTGTATAATCTTTAGATTAACGTCGAGTGTGTAGGGAAATGTGGATAGGTTACCTGCGTGTCTGAAGGAGCTGTAGATTCTCCACCCACAGATGTTAAATTAGGCGTATATGCGACTCCGCGAAGTGCCTGTCCAGGTGTTACAGACCTAGCAATCCCAGTCGCTGAAGAAGAAAAAATAATTATCGTGTTCGTTTCAAAGTGTTATCATTTAAAACGGCTTGGCAATTCAATCCGAGACCGACTAAACTCTTGACACGTATGCGTGTGCAATTTATATATTATCAAAGATTTCACTTAGACATAAGGACAAGATGCATATTTTCGTACTAATGTTTAAAATGGAATTTGCTAAATTTTACATTTACATGTATGTTACATATCGAGATATCTAAAAGGAATCTTACTTGGCCCACTGACAGGAACACTGGATACTGTCGCAGTAGGCTGAACAACTTTACTGCTGACCATAGGTGTCCCTGTACCCAAGACCGCCCCCTTCACTGTAAAAAAAATATATAAAGTTACGAGACATCCTTCCTCGCAATATCAAACGTATGCCAAGGGTGATGCGAGCGTCTTGTAAGCGAGTCCCTTCGTTATTAATACCATTTAACAGGATCCTCTTCGATACGCGTAATTTCTATTTTTATAACTTTGCAACAACAACGTACTTGCTTGCGGAGCACTAGCCGGCCTGAGTGTCGGCATGGCGACCAGATTCGCTGGTTTCGCCGGCGGCGGCGGCGGAGTTGCGCCGACTCCTCTGGCAGGTCCGCGAGCCTGCGACTCCTTCCACGTGTCCATTTCGGCGCGTAACTTCTCCAATTCCGTCTCGAAATCCTTCGCTCTCTTCTCCTCCTTGACGAGGGCCTGCCGATACTGCTGCCTCTCCATATCGAATTGCGCTAACTGCTTCTCCAATTCCGCCTCCATCTGCAGTGACTTTTTACTCTCTTCCTCGAGGCCCTCGGCCATCGAATCTATCCTCACCTTCTCCTCGCTGAGTATCTGAGCCAAGTCCTCGGATCGCTTCCTCTCCTCAATGTACTTCATAATAATCTTTTTACGTTCCGCCAAGAGGAGCAGCACGATCTGCTTCTGCCGACCCTTTTCTTCCTCGAGATGATCGTTGATCTTCTTTAATTCCATCTCTAATCTCTTTTTCTCTTGTTTCTCTAATTCTAACTCCTTCTTCAATCTCGTCCGCTCTTTCTCAAGACCGTAGGTGATATCGTCACCCTGAGCGGTATCATGTTCGTGTTTCCGCTTCTCTTCCTCCAATTCTTTAATTACCTGAAGGATGTTTCGTTCACAATGAGACAATAAAGTGATGTTACTTTCTAATATTATTACGTCGCAATGTTTACGTTTACTACAACATGTTAACAAGAAATACGATTAAAACATACATACCGCTCTGTGCCTAATTTCAGCATCCCTAAGGACTTTAGTCATCCTACACTGCGCCTTTCTTTGCTGCGTCACCAGTGCTTCCAGACTAGCGACTTGTTGATCAATTTGATTCCCTTCGACACCAATAACACCACCTACTATCGCGACGTCGCGAGCTAATGCCGCGTGCGGATCCGCAGTACTACTGAGATACCGGGAGCTTAGAAGGTGTTTCATTTTTTCTGACTGAAAGGAAAAACGGCGATTGTTATACAACAGGCCGAACGATCGTTACGTGTCATAGTCTATTGGAAAATATTAGAGAGCTTGGACAATTGACACGTTGCTATGCAAGAAATAAGGTTTAACTCGATTCTGATAATCCTTTATCTTTTGTATCGTTTAAAAATGACAGTATGTGTGAACGACAGAAGAGTGGTTTTAAAACGAACGAGTGTCAAACCTCGATGTACACGCTTTACAATTATCCAATAATTTTCTACGTGCTATTATCCAAGCTGAAAAAAATACCCGCTGCAGTTACACGAAAAGACAAGCGTAAGACGCTTCTGAAAGCGATCCTTTAATAGCAGTTGTAACAGTCCAATTACTTTTAATGCCGCTATCACTATGTCTCTCGCCTGGAGCTCGCCTTCCAGGTATCCCAGTAACTTGAGCAAATCAGTTTTGCTCAGCTCCATTTTTGGGTTACGCTACAAACAGACACCAAGCAACTGTTGAGTCCAATTTATATAACACAATCCCCAGATTTATATTACAATCGTGGACTCCAAGGCGAAGGGGACGCACGCCGGGAACGTACCTTGAGGGTGTTGGAGGAGCTCTTGTCCAGCGGCTCGATGTTGTTGGCCTGCTGTTGCGACTGCAACGACTGCTGGATCTGCGACTGCGACGGCTGGGCACCGAAGGCCAGGGGCTGCGCCTTGTCGGCCGCTCTGGCCAGGACGGTAGCGGCCGGCGACGACGGCGCCGACGTTGACGGCGGCCCGTTGGCCGTTGTCGTTGTCATCGTCGTCGACACGACACCGGGCGAGGTGACGCTGACGGCGCCTTGATTCTGCGATGCCATTGTCGCGCTCTAACGCGGAGGACTGTTACCTACCAACCGTCGACGAGCGGTGGTCGTCGTCGTCGTCGTCGTCGTTGTCGTCGTTGCTCCGGCGCGGCTCGGAAGGGGCGATCCCGTGAAACTCGCTCGCTCGCACGCTCGCTCGCTCGCTCGCACGCACGCACGAGCTCTCGCCTGAGCGCGCGCCCCAAGCTGCTCCTACGTCGACTTCCTCACCCCTCGATCCGGAGACCCGCCACGGCCGTCACGGGACGCGCGAGCACCCCCGCCGGACACCCAGCGGCCCGGGACGCCCGCCACATCGCCGACACGGGACCGACGGCCGCGTACGCCTCTTCTTCCCGTCGTCGTCGTCGTTGCACTCCTGCTCGTCCTCGTCGTCGTCGTTCCCTCGTCGCCGGTACTCGGAGTCGTTGCCCGTCGGATCGGCGCCTCACGCCGACGAGAGCGTATTAACGCGGCGGCATCCGGCACGGCGGGCCGCTCTGCCTCCAGCTACGCTACGCTCGTCCCCTTGACAAATCAAGCGCACAAAGCGCAGCCAGCTCTCACGGCACGGCCAAGCGAGACTCGATCCTGAGAGCGGCCACTCTGGTGTTTTACTTGTTATTTCGCTAAGCAGTTTCCAGCGCTTTACGCCCACTTTTATTTTTGAAACTACTCCGCTACGCCCATTTTCAAGCACTGTCGATAAAGTCTCCAGGTAATACTGAAGGAGAGTCTCTCATTCTCCGTTTTTCATGAAAATTCATAGGATCGGGTATTTTTGCCTGTAAAACACGAATTTGCAAGTTAAAATTGTCGCTCGGCACTACTAAGAGAGTTATAAATTGTTAAAATCTGACAGTTGTGAGGTTAGGATACCTGTCGTACCGACACCAACAAACACTATACGCGAACAGCGTATAAGGACCGGCCAAAAGAGAGCGTCAGGAGGAGACGATGCCATGCAAGAATCTGAAAAAAACACGAAGAACAGTCGTACATAAATTATATATCGTACAAAATTAATAAATAATCAACAGGTTTATAAAATTAAAGTTATATTTCTTCAGTTTTTTAGTTTTGACCTTGAAAATGACCTTGTCGCAAATTTTTATTCTCATATTCGTAAGCAGCGTTCAAAAATACAAAAAATAGTGTCGCTTCAAAAAGATCGGAGGGTTCACCGATTCGGATTTAACTACTGTAACCAATAGTTATCCGATAAAACCAGTACCACTATATAAATGTGTAACAAAAATTGTACTGTAAATGCGCAAACGAAAATCTATCGCATAAAAGATTATTTTAGACCAACTTAAAATTTCATACAATAGAAAAGTTAATCTAAAGAGGCCCTCCGCCGCCCCCGCCAAATTCTTATCGGCGGTCTTCTTTTGTTTGCGATAAAATTAAGTTTTTACACTTTTATAACTTGACGCAAAAAGATCGTAAGTCCCGAAAATAAAAAATATTG